CTAAGCAATTAATACTTAGCTCAAAAAATAAAGACCAATTGCCCTGTTTCTCTTCTTCCATGTATATTTATCAGTTTAACTGCCCAGACAGGGCTAGTTACATTGGGTGTAAGATCAGGCAAGTTCACTGTGTTGAATTTCTGAACACGTTCTGTCCTGGTTAGACAAAGCTCCGAATAAAGCTACACGCAGATCAATACTAGCTTATCTCGTCGCTACTGGACATGAAGTTGACTTTAAAAGGCTTCTAAAGTTAGCTGTCGTATATAACCCAACCTTTCGCCACATGGTCTACGAGAACGGCTTTTACATACAGCAGAGGCAATCGGAATTCATCGGAATGTTGCTAACGCCTAAGAATCGAATTATCTTGAATCCTGTAACTAATGTTCAGCCCTCCCTCCTTCAAAAATTAGATATTTTGTTACTAACATCTATTGGTTAATTGTTTTGATGACCTTCACCTAAATAACTTCACCTACTCCGCCTCTGTCTAAAACTGATTAACTAAAATTACCACTTCATGTAGAAGACTTTATGTTAATGTAGGTACAGCGGATGATGAGGAACTAAGTGAAAAAGAATGCATATTTCTTAGCTCAATCTGTTGTTCTTTTCTAAATGCGTAAATGGGAATTCGGAAATTATTAATATTTTTCTACTGATGGAAATCTCTTCATATACTAATGATAAATCTTGTCAGTAGCACACGCCAAAATACTTTATCATATAATAACAATTTGAATGTTATACGCGGAAAGCAGTTTATTAGTTTTTAGATTAATAATTCCATATTATATTAAAATAATACATAGCATTCATACATCTTAGTGCGTATAATTGACTTATTCATTTGTGAGAATTTCATGTCGACCTGTAAACATAATCAGGAAAATTTAATTTAAACATCATAAACGGTGTTTAAAGACGTTGAAATATACGAAAGAATGACTTACACTGCTAGCATCGTATTGGATAAATTGTTTGGAAATTTCCCCCTGGACTGTCTATGCGTATTATCTATACTTATTTCAACTAACTTTGTGAATATTACACTCTCGGTGAGAAGAGGAGTCATCAATCCAAGTTTGGCCATGGTAGGAAACACACCGTCTGGACGTGTTCTTTTTTGGGTACAAAGTTCCGATTTAGTTGATCTTATTGCAGCAGCTTCAGCTATATGTAGGAGACGTAAGCGAACTGTACGTGATAACGACCATTTTGTACTACCCACTCACCTGATACCTTTTATAATCTTGAACTGACTTGTCAGTTTTCCTACCCCACACTCTACAAATCTATTATGACTAATCACCACCACCACCACCATTGTCTGCTGTTTTACAATATTTTGTAATCGACTTCAGTCCAGAGCACGTTTGTCACACAAATACGACTGTTTATTTTGACACCCCATAACTAATCTGTTATTCTACCTAACGTAGAATGTATTCGCCGCATAACTGGCCATTATTGTAACGACAATAAATATTATATTTTATAATTGTAGGCAACCTGAAGTAGAGAAATTACTGAAAAGAACATTGAATATTCATTAAAATAAAGGTTTTTGTATTTCCCAATGAATGAAAAACAAAACGATATTGCTTTTACTGACGTTCCTCTATTAAATGCTAATAGCTTTATCAAAGTATTATAGAACATTGAATAGTTTGTTTATTCGAACTAGTTTCGATTGGCGGGTGACAAGAAAGCTGTCATTACTTAATAGTGAACTGGTTGGCAGAAGATTGGAGAAATACGATCAGAAGTATTGTTGTATAGACTATTAGTGTCTATATACAGAATTCGGCACTGACTAACCACTGTAAATCTGTGTCGTTATCTCTTGAATAATAAATATTCGTGTTACCCAACCGTTTTCTGTTTTTCCGCGTCCGTTAAGGTGAATAGTGTACTGAGTATTAAGCTTACTATTTTGAAGCCAGTGATAGGTTCGGGATCTCAGCGACTGGACATTTGACAAATATTGTTTTCAATTACATCTTCTTCAGGCTTTATTCGAATTTACATTGATTTATATATAAAACTTTTAACCAATAACGGTGATTTTGTGGATCAAATAATAATAAGGAAGGATGGTTCATTCAAGTGAGATGTCTATGGAAAACCTACATCTGTAAGACAATATACACATTTACTCAGTTTTGTACCAATCCAATAAAAAGTCACTTTGGTCGGATGCCCCACAAGTAAAGCAAGACGAATCTGGACATATGACTCCCTAGAAAACGAGTTAGGATATATCCAAAATACACTGGTCCAAATGGGTTATCCTAGTAGATTTGTAAGAACACAAGGTACACTTAATAGAAACTGACAACAGTTAAAAAGAAACAACTATTCATGAATTCGCAATTTAATGAGAACTTGTCTGTTGAAGTCTTACATCTAAAACGGACTTATCCTGCCGCCACTCTTTGTTTGTTTGTAATTCTCCAGCCGACCAGTTATGATTATTCAAGTGAAAGATAAGCTACCAAGCTGTTTCACTTCTGTGTGTATCTACAAAATTAGTTGCTCCTGTGTAGAGAGCTATATAGGGCGAACAACTAGACAGCTTAACAAACGTATTAGTGAGCACCTTCTTTTCATGGTTTGAAAAAGGTCAAATGAAATCTATAAGAAGTTCTATTTTGACTCACTTGATTGATAGCGGTCACGAAGTGGACAGAAGTGCCTTCAAAGTCATCTATCGTATTCTATGGAGACTTTCGGAGGCAATTTGAATCCGCCTCTTACACACAGCCAGAGATGTTGTGTGTGAGAGAGAGAACAACCCTAGACTCTGTATACAAGAGAAGTTTGTTCTACCTTTTTCACCCCCTTGCTTGCCTAAGTAAAGTCTAATTCAAACCCTCCCACCCTTTGTTATTTTCAATTTCCTTCATGTATTAATTATACTTATTTAAACTATGATTATCTGTGCACTTTACCTTTAGTATTACGCAACTTTTAAGCTCTGAACTTGTTTACTTATTGAATTGTCTACATATACAAATATTACTACCTTCGCTATTCTTGTCACCACTTGCATAAATATTATTATCATCATTATTTTGTTATCACTATAATCGATTGGAGGATTTCACCATGAGCTGACATCCTTAGAGAACTATTGGAAAACCTGGGAGTACTGCACATCTCTTTCGTCCTAGTGCTTGAGACTCATCTGAAGTACGTACCAACCTATAGGGTTCGAACCCAGGACCTTTTAGTTACAAGTCGAGCTCATAGACAATTAAGCCACTGGGATCCATTCGACTTGTCTATGAATTCTAGCTTCTACCACTTCATAACATAGCACGACCAATTCAGAATATCGTCTTTGATAAGTTACTGCCTCATGTTCAACCTGCTGCACCCTACTGGTCACGGCTCGCCTTTTTCAAACCCTGTAGGTGGGTGCGTACTGCAAATGGGTTCGAAACTAGGACGAAATAGCTGTCCAGTACTCCCAGGTTCTCCAATGGTTTTCTAACTGATGTCAGCTCATGATGAAATCCTCCAACCAATTAAACTAAATCCCTACAAAAACCAATACTTGAAAATTCATGATTATAATCGTCGTTAATAATGAGGTTCAAAACATATACCACATTATTACTATTTGATCCGCAAAATCACCGTCATTGGTTGAAATTTTTACACATAAATCTCTGTAAATTCAAGTAAAGCCTGAGGAAGATCTAACTGTAAACAACAATCTTGTTCGCTTATATGTCGCGTTCCAATGTGCTGTTTGACGATGTGAGTTTTTCTGAGTGAATGAAGGTCATTTAGACCCACGACTGTCTCTGGGAAGCGTTGGTGTTGGATTCTTGTGGTCAGAGCCATTAATCTCATCTCATTGTGAATACTGTCTATTTACAGTTGAACTTTGGTGGACTAATTTTGTCTTACAGTACTTGTTTTGTATTTTTTTGAAATGTGCATTGCCTGCATGGCTGGCCCACGGTACTGTTGAGGTAAATTTGAGTTTGATGTTATTATCGTTAAATAGAACGGCTAAAATAATCGAGAAAAATCGCCTTTTCCTTGCCTTTAGAATGTTTTATGAATACGTTTGTCTCAACGAAGTTTTGTCGGCTATGTAGTAGAAAGTAGCGATCAGCTTCTTGTGTTCAGACGATAATCGAAGAAATTTGGTCACTACAAGCCTATTTGAAGTAGTTCACTTCACAGTTATGTCTAATCGGAGATGCAATATTATGAACAAGATATCACATATTCAGAAAATAAAGACAGTTTGGTTATGTAGACAATAACATATAAACGGGATAACTTTCAATGCATAGAACCATGAGGAAGGAATTATGTAAAGATCGTAACATCAACATGGATATTGTCAACTTAATGGCATTGCTTTCATCTTTGCATTCACACCAGTTGTTTCATTGTGTAACAATTTTTGTTTACTATAGTTACGATTTAATGTTCAATGTGAGCTTATACACTATGCTGACAATGTTTAACCGTCTCTATAGTTATGATCTGAAGTGAATATTGAATAGAATGATAACACAATAGCAGTACAATTTAAAAAAATTACTCATCTAATAACAACCTCACTGTTTAATGTTTTCTTTAGACACAGTTGAAGCGTATGAATATATAGAAAGAGAATACACACTGAATCACAGTTGAGATCTTTGTTATACGAACTGACTGAGCAATAAATCATCAATGAATGTAGACTGTAAAATGAGTTTGTCATACCTATTTCTATGTAAAAAAATAATAATACTTAGAATAATGATAATACTAATGGCGATGACAAATAGGTATAAATTGTCTGCGTTAACAAAATTAACCGTATTAATAGAGTCACGACACTGGAATTCATACATTACAAATAAACTGGTTAAGCCATGTTTATCTTTGAAATGCCAAGAGTAGTACTCATACGAAAACCATCACTAGCAATTATACATCGATTCATTCAATTCTTTATATTCACATATTTCGTTATATATGTTATGTGGTTGCACAAAGGCTATCAATCATTCGATCGTCCCATCAGTGGTGTAGCAGTCAAAGTGAAAGGTATCGCTTGGAAACATGTATTCCAAAGACAAAACCATGTTGCAAATGGAATAATTGTGCTGGACAGTGGAGATTACTTACTACAACCTACACAGAATTCTGGATTTTATTTAATAACAACAATAAGACACTTTGTAGTACAAAGTATGTCAACGTGCAGTGAAGGTGATCGATTGCCTGATGCACAATGTCTAGAAGATGAACACTGTCCAGCTGGTTACCAAGCGGGATTCCAAGCATTCGGTTATGATGGTATCGTACCAGATGAGAACTCCATCGCAATCGATGAGAGTGGACATGGAATATTCACAGGGAAATGTTTGAAGGATCATGGGAAATGTGAAATATTCGGTTGGTGTCCAACTGGTGATGACTATGAATATGAATTGATGAAAGAACGTAATGCGAAGATGAGATTGATTCGACCACCAAATATTATAGAAGGATATTATAATTTTTTCACAGATTTACGATTTTTAGAAGTGAAAAACCGAATCAATGATCTTACACCACATTCCGTTGATCCTCTATTCGAGATTGTCAATTTCACAATGCTGATTAAAAACAGTATAGAGTTTCCTGCATTCAATAAGAAACGACTGAATATTTTATCCTGGATGACAGATAGTTATCTACAAGAGTGTTTGTATAATCCTGAACACGAAGTCGATCGATACTGTCCCATCTTCCGTCTCGGTGATGTATTCAAACTGGCTGGGACGAACACCAATCGTCTGTTGAAATATGGTGGAGTGGTTGCCATCACAATCAGTTGGGAGTGTGATTTGGACTGGTCTCCTGAATACTGTTTACCGAAGTATGAATTTCTTGAATTGGAGAGTGTTCACAAAGTTCGTAAACTTCGAGTGGATAATTCCACTTATAGTCATCAGGGTGGTCATATGAAGTGGTCACCATCACAGTCAGAGGATACATCAACGTCAACAACAGACAACAGAGAGGGAATATTCGATTACACATATGCAGCACACATTCCGAAGGATGAAGATGATATAATCGATGATAACGAAGAGGTTGTTACAGTTCATGAAGGTTCTGCAGCACGTGTTACTTGGTATTTTGGTCATGACACAGAGACTGTGAAGAATCGAAGACGCATTCTAGCTCATGTGAATGGCATACAATTCATTATCCGTGTCACTGGGATAGCTGGGAAATTTAATTTACTTTCATTCACAAGAAGACTTGGTTCTGTTATCGCACTCTTGAGTGTAGCTCCACTGCTGACTGATATGATCCTGTTTCATTTTACACGCGATCGTAAACGCTATAAACAGATTACTTGTGATAATACGACAGTGAAGCTTTTATTAACGAGAACCTCCCATTGTAGACGGCTGATGCATTCAGTGTCCGATTCAAAAATAACCGGTCGATGTGATTTTTACAATCAAAATGCAAGTTCGCATACACCATTGGAGAATAATCTTTACGAATGGATACAGTGATACTTTTCGTATATTCATCATGCTGATGAATTCCTGAAACGCCTCGAGGAGATCTATCTTTTTTAGGTAGAATATCTTAGTCTCATCTGCCGTCGATTCATGATACATTCAATTCCCATTTCTACAAGTTATTTATGTATCAATAATAAGGTTATGAGAATATCCTATTTGAAGTCTACTTTGTGTTTGATGCTGATTGTTGTCTTTGTGTTCAAGTGATGCTTCCAGTCCATACGCATAAATCAATATGTGCTCTACTCAACCAAACAAGAGTTACACTTACTTGATCTGCTTTGATCGAAAGAGACACACACAGAGAGGTATCGCTAAAAGGAATGGTACTATTCAACAGAATCTCTGAGGTATAGCCAATTAAATTATTTTGTTTTATTCATATCTTAAATACCTGATATTTATATATTGTGAATTCTCTGTCCTCATCTTTGTTCTTAAGTACTTTTTATAATTTTCAGACTTTTTTATACATTCGATATCACTGCCATACTCTGATATTCCCTAAGCTGTTTGTAATCGTCTTAATTAGATGTGTCAGTGTGTGTATGTGTCTGCTTGCGTGTTCGAATTTATTACAGTTACTACCATTCCCCGGAGATGTTCGTCAACCAGGATATTCAGATCCTCACTGTCACTGTCTGCATAAGTGTAAGTTGAATATCCTAGTACCATTTATAACTGAGTATTGACTTTATCAGTTGACTTGTATAATCCATAATGTTTTATTGATCCATACATCTTGAATATATATGTTGTGTAAAGCTGTCGTCTCCTAAATTTATTCATGTTGTTGCTTGCTACTGAGGTTCACTCTAGTTATTTGTCTGTCGATAAGGTGATCCTGAATAAAACTCCTTTCTATATTTTGTTGATAAACGCAGATCAGACCAACAAGTCATTATCGCTGACAAGTACTCATCCCTACATACGCAAATAAAAGTATTCATTTAGATACCAATGAACTATGAAGCCTTAAACACATACGTTTGTATAATTAAGCAGTTATTGTTCGCTTATCAGTTGAATGCATTTAAGTAGTGAGTAGTTATCAACGGGCTGACCTATTTAGCTTGAGTGACTTTGGTTCGATCTCTTCTGAGATTACGGGAAAGTACACACTTCTGAATAGTACCTAGGTGTTAGAAAAAGGAGAACTGTTCAATGCTCCATAACCTTTACTAATGCCTCCTAAATGATGTTGGTTCGTTAAGGAATGTACTACTAATAGTAGTAGTAGTAGTGATCACGGTGACGAGTAATAATTGTTTATCGATTTTCAATAATATCGAAGACTTCCAAATGGAGTATCCAATGCCGAAATAGTCAGAGTAAAAAATAATTTTCAAGGGAGGCAACACACTAAAATCATTCATTCAATGATTCATCAAAGGAAAGATATTTCTTGATTATTTCGAAGTAAATCGATTAGTTCATTCAGCACATAATTAAATAAATAATTAAATATGATTTCTAGTTTGTTTCATTAATAATTAAACATTTCCAAGTGTATCCGAAAGTTAATTTTTGAAAGAAATAGGAAACTGTTTTTAAGACACTTTGATTAATTGCCTTCTACGCATGATTTTTTAAACGGTATCGAATAAAACTCAAAGGCGTATTTGTCGTTGACAAGTATCAGCGAACTGGACAGAATAATTAATATTTCAGGATCATTTGACGCATAATTAGTCATTGAAATATCCCTTAATGAAGGAGGAGAAGACGAAGACACGTCATCGAGTTGAATTCGAATGAGAAAGGTGAAATGTGAACAACGTATTATTAGTCCTCTTGTTCAAGAAAAAGCAGCGACAATTTGTACACAGGTATTCAGAAAAATATAAATGTTATCCCCTGGAGTGATTATGTTGAGTTTCAATTCGTTCAATCTGCAACACCCTACGCTCCAGCAAGCCTAGGACCATTTGGATGACTTCGAGCTCGCTTCCGGTTTGCTTCAAATGTAAATATCGCCCATCATATACTGCTGTGTGGCCATCCACCCTGCTAGATCTCAGCATCACGGAAATTTCATGCTGACATATAGTACAGACAACTTGACATTGTTGTCAGCATCTACCCAACAGCACACCAACTAGAGGTGGGAGAGTTAAACACTCACAGCCTCCCATGCTTGTGTTTATTGACGATTCAATGACGAGAGTTGTGGAGTACACATTTACATCACAGTGAAGCCGTCGCCGCCTTCATTTCCCTCGAAAATCCAATCACCCACCAATTGGGAAATACCACGAAAATACCCCTGTCACTATACAGATATTCGTTCCGAAAATTGACAGTTTTTGAGGATATGAGTTAAAGTTCATGTTCAGTGTGAAGATGAACGATTAACCTTCATTCGAAGAGTTGCATCTAATAAGAAATTCGAAACAGTGCCCGTTGTGCGACGAGGAGTAATTCTCATTCGTTTGACGTGTATATGAGCATTTAGGTCTACTGAAAATTCGAGGGTTGATTTGTATATGTATGCGGATTGAAGCACAAAGTAGACAATTGGAAGTTCGTGTGACAAGAAGGTGGCAATGGATGCATTGTGGTGTAAATGTGTATGGCTATTAAATCGTCAGTAAATACAGATGATATTGGCCATGGGTGTTATATTCTTCCACAACTAGTCGGCGTGCTGCAAGGATGACTGAATGAAGTTTTAGGCTTTTCGCATGTGAACAATTCAGTCACCATCATCGATAAAGTGAAAGTAAAATGTAGACTGTATTTAGAAGATAAACACAACATTATACACTGTTTCCAGTTCAGTGTAGTACATGTGTGGTGAGATGTGGAGAATTTCTCACCAATAATGGTTACTTCAGACACGAAGAATGGTGGTAATTTGGAGGCTGATGCCCAGCTCACAATATCTGGGCAGGCAGGCAGGAACAAAATATCAAACTGTACTAGTAATTGGAAGGCATTTTCTGAGGACTATGAACAATCAAAGGCTGAGTTGGTGAAATTGAGTATGACACGAGTCGAGCGTGAGAGGAGATTCCACATGAGTGAATTAGTGCAGTGGTGAGGCCGAAACAAAATTGAGAAGATTTTGTGACAGATATAAGCTTGATGATTCTGTAAATTCGTGGCGAATTTGAGATATGAGTCTCGAGGATTCAACTTGTTGTGTGCTTGGAATGGCCAACACAATATAAATTCCATAGTTACAAGCTATGTTCAACCTGAAAAGACAGTATGATAGACCATATGATAGGTGAGGGAGGAAGATGTGTCGCCTATAATTGTGATGTGAAGGTATCTTCAAAGTATTTGGTTGCCTTCAGAAATATTGCATTAGAGATCAAGTGTTCTTCCAACGCTCTCCTATCACGATTCACCCATTTTCTTATCTTTTTCAGGCTTCATTTTCACTGACCTACTTCAGAATAGTCGCATGGTGATCGATGTGTTGTGACCCACGAAGAGTTCACAACACTTCAAAAAATAATCAAGTGCCCGACAGATGTTACCTCCAAATACATTAGTAAATTTACGTGCACCTACGGCATCAACAACACTGTGAGGAAAGAAAGAAGGGATTCTACCCGGTTTTCAGAGCATATTCCGAGAAAATAATGCTTAAGAGGGAGCAGATATTTACAAAGTTGAATTAGCAGACACCTTGAGGAGACGGGTCATTTCGTCGAGATTTACAAATCCTCGAAAATATTAAACATACAAAAGACAACGAAATCTACTACGATTTACTAAACCGACTACAATCGAATATCTCAGACAAAACTGAAACACACACTGAGAGATAAGTCAATCTCTCACTCCCTTGGTAACCGCATTGCTTGCATTACACTGATCAGTCATGCAGACTAGTATGCTCAGCTCGCCAAGCAAGTTTTCAATTTTATGAATGTTACGCTTGTTAAGTTTCCATGTTCACGTACAAGTTAATACTGTTCATTAGAATTTTCTGTTTTCTGTCTTCTCTCAACCCCATGTTTTCCATACTTTGATAGTATATAAACTGATGGTCACTTAAACTAGAGTGAACTGTAATACTTATATGCCGGATTCGTTCATCTTATAATGATTTCTCTATTACCTGTCAAACATTGAAGCATGAAATGTTGTCATTTATTACCATTGTAATTTCAGGTAGTTTGCAGTTAGCTGACGAGAACCTGTGAAACAGAGTGATTTCATTTTATACTCCAAATCTCGTGCGTATTTCTCTATCAAAATTTATCAAGGGAATCAAATGTATGAAGCAATATTCGAGTAATTTTTCATATTGCATGCATGCATGGTTTTAATCTGAAAAATGTGGTGAAACTGAGGGTTGTGCGGTGAAGACTGGCGCTAGCAAATATGACAATGCGTGTCATTGATATGTTCAGATAGCGTTCGACAGAGTTCTTTACAAAGTCACGAACAGCATCACACGCAGTATGGCAAACTGATATGATGGATAATCAGATTTGACAGGCAGGAATGAGTGTGATGCCTGTGATATCTACGTAAACAGTCGAGATCACATTGGTGCCTGAGGAGAATATCTAAAGCATCAGTTCATATGGTTGGTAGACAAAATTGAAGCAGCCAGTCAAGTGTCACGTCTCCGAAATGCTCCCTATTCGCATCGACACCTTCATTGTACATGCAGCCCACTTCCATGAACTCATGTCAAATACACTAAGGAAGAGAAATCATGAGATCAGAACTAATGTGTAGCGCGCTCTCATTCATGAAGAAGGTGTTCCACTGTGTGTTTCGTGTTTGTCACGCTTTACTGTGTTCACGTTCGAATACACTGTGTATACGTTAGACAAATAATCTGAAATGTTTCACGACCCAATGAAAGCGACTAAATTCGAAATGTGATGACAGTAGAGAGCGAGATTTATCCGAATGGCCAGGTGCTTGTGCATGATTAGAGTGGATGCATTCCGAATATCTATGGATAATCATGACAAAGGCAACCAACCACCGAACCAAACAACTAACTAACTAACTAA